CCAGCTGTGTGCTGCCCCTCCTCAAAGCACACACGCACACACCTGCACATCTCGCCTGTGGACATCTCCCTCCTGTCTGTCAGAAGCAGAAACTCCGGCCTCCTTCTTTTCCTCTCTCCTGCCCTTTGTTTCGTGCGTCGGCTCTTCTCAACTCCATCAACGCCAGCTGACTGATGTCCAACTGGCAGCCCGTAGTGTTCACTGGCATATCTGCCCCGCGATGCTCCAGCAATTAACCAGGAACATCATCTTGTCCCCTCCTTCTCCTCCTCCCCTTCCTCCTCCTCCTCCTCCTCCTCCCCTTCCTCCTCCTTGACAGTCTGGCTGTTGCACTCCCGAGCCACCGCGAACCGGTAGTCGCATCTCGTCTCCATGGGCTTCTCGTTGGGACACTTGTTCAAGGCGTGTCTGCTGTTTGTCAACGCAGTGGCCGTGCTAAATGAGGATCGCTTCCTTGCTCGCAGTGCGTTCAGTGGCTGCCAGGTGTCACTTGTAGCATCGAATGGCAGCCCCAGCATATTGACTCACACTCCGGCCATTGACAACCCCCTCCCCTCCGGTTGCCATAGTTGGGTGGGGCACACGGTCAGTTCAGGTTGGCGCCGGTCCGAATCTCACCGCCGGGGACGATGCCTTTGGCCTGAACAGTCAGGACACCAAGTCGCCGGGCCCACTGAAACTGCAGATCATCCGTTTGATTGCCTCGGTGCAGACCCTGCTCAAGTGTTCGTCATGTCCTACCCCCCCCCCTCTTCCCTCCTGCTCTGTCGCCCTTGCTCTCCATGCTGTCACAATTCCCCCTGCTTCGCGCTCACCGGCCGGCTCTCCGACCCACCCAATCACTCTCCGGGCCCAGTCCCTCTCATCATTCTGAATGTTGTGTGGATCGCTTTCGAGCTTGCCTTCGGATGAGGGGTGGTATGCTTCACTGCAGACTGCCGGTCCCTCCTCTCCCCTTACTCCATCCTTCCTCTTCATCCGCGCCGCTTGCTGTGTCGAAATGCAGCACCGCCCTCTGCCCCTCCTTCCCTCCCGCCCAGAGACACCCCGACAGGAGAACCATCATGCTGCATGAAGTGTCGGCACAACATGAGACACAGCCCATGTGTAGGATAAGCAAGAGAGGAGGACACCCCTACGATGGTCACACCATGTTGTACATTATTCCTCGGCCGCGCCGACTCCCCTTGGGGCCCACCCCACCCCCCGAAAAAAAACTAATACAAAAAATTTCCTGACACCAGAGAAGCGAGTGCACTCCTCTTGTGAAGGAGAGCAAGGAAAAAACCCAAGGGCTGTGGACCGAAAGGCTTTTGTGTATTTCATTTTCTCGAGGAAACGCTTCCATTTTGCACTTTTTCAAATAAACCCCCTCCTCCTCTCAATGAGGAGACGAGAGAAATGGCGATCTATACACACCAGCTGGGCGGGCCCGTATCGCAGGTTCGGAAATGGTCCCAGGCGCGCGGCTAAACATCAGCACACACGAATAGCCAGAAGGGGGAAGAGAGGGGGGGGGGAGGGAAAGGGGGAGGGAGACCACATGGCAGTATATCTTTGGCCATTTAAAATGACAGACACATGTGCCATGCGCACACACACACACACACACACACACACACACACACACCCAAACTGGTGGGTGGCTGTAAACACCTGGGTGTTACTCCTCTCAGCGGGAGGGAACAAGTGCGGCAGACATCGGGTCATCGCAGGGAGCCGGACTGGACCGATCACGGCCGGCACCGGCGCTGAAGCCCGCCGTCGGCGCGCCATTGTTAAGGCGCGCAGTGGACTTGCCGACGGCCGCACGGCCAGTAGGTCGACCGAAACTACTGCTTCGTGGCTTCCTCCCGCCTGGTGGCAGGGAAACGGGTGGTGGTGAGGGCGGGGCACCAGTGCAGAGACGTGTGTCCCCGCCACTGCCACCATTGTGGACAAGCGGCCCAGTGGAGGAAAAGCCGAACACCGTGCCCGAGCGAGGACGGTGGTGGTGGTGCTGCTGCTGCTGCTGCTGTTGACTTGAGTGATGGCCAGTCATGCCGGCATCCTCGGTTCCGCGCCAGAGCGCCCCATTGCGATCGGGCTGCATTGACGGGAGCAGCGGAGGCATGTCGCTCGGAAGCGAATGCGAGGAGAAGGAAAATGAGTGCATGTGGCCACCGCCAGTAGCAGCGGCGCCGCTGGCATTTCCTGAGTAGGACCCAAAGGCAGACACGCCAGCTTGGCCAGTACCGCTGCCGGAGCCGTAACTTCCACTTCCCCGGCCATTTGGCGCATATCGGAATCCGCCTGGGGCCGAGCCGCCATTGCCGCTCCCATGATCGCGGTCCGAGTGGTGGTGATGGTGGTGATGGTGGGGCAGGCCCTGGGAGCTGTGATCGGCCGAGGAGTAGGTGGGGAAATCATCCTCATCCATGTCAAAGTCGACATCCAGGTCCGAATCACCAAGATCAACGTCACGCGGGGCCGACTTGACCAACAGGCTGAAGAAGAGGGTGCAGAGAGAGAGGGAGAGACACACACAGGAACATAGTAACGGGAGGAGGACGGGGTGGGGGATGGTGTTAGTCGCGGCGCTCAAAAGGAGGAAAAGCATTTTGGCCGAGGATAGCGGAGGATAGCGGGGGGGAGGGGGGGGGGAGGGATGGCTTGTGTACCTTTCCGAGAAGGCCGACAAGTATACCACACGCTTCTTCTTCTTGCTGTAGAAGAAGTAGTGATAAGACCAGGTGGTGACATGCTGCAGATCACTCAATGGGTCGGAATCGGGGTCCGGCGTGAACAGGAAGATCTCCCTTTAAGTGTGGTGGGAGGAAGTAGGGAGAAGCACGCGCATGGGAAATGCCGTCCGAGGAGGTTAGCACAACACAGTAAAACGGGCAACAAACCAGGCGGAAGGATCAGGAGGCCCCGAGGAGGCCCCGAGGAGGCCGAAACGCACGAGTCCGACAGGCCGATGGCCTCATCCAATGCAAGACAGAGTCGAGTGAATGGGCTCGCATCGGAGAGGGGGATCTCCGGCGGAGTGCCCGGGGTTACCACCAACAGGCTGTGGCCACCGAAGGGGGTCAGGTTGTTGGTAGACGTGACAATCGGGATTGACGAGGCGAGGGAGCGACCGCCATCCGAGGCTCCATTGCTGCCTGTCGAGGCCCCGGTCGGTGAGACGAGAGGCCCACTGGAAAGTCCATTTCCAGACATGGCGGCGCCCTGGCTTCCGCCAAAAGACAGGGTTCCCTGGCCCGCTGCACTGGCAGGGGGGGATAGATTCGGCAGGATGGAGCTAATGGAGAAGGAGGATTCCGGCGAGATGGCCATTTGCAGGGAGTTGAGCACCCGCTCCAGGTCATCCAACTTGGTGAACTGATCAGGGCGAACCCCACTGATTGGGTGGAGAACGGGAGTGTGGGAGAACGGGAGGGAAGGGGCAGAGGAACCGGAAGGGTTAATCATTGAGCCAACATGTGGATGTGCCCACAGACGCGGCTTGACAAAGAAGGGCGTATGTATGCGTGGATGTATGCACGTGGTGGGGTTCGCGAAAGACAAGAACAAAGGGAATCGGGCAGAGAAACAAACAAACAATCCAAGGGCAGACGCACCTGAAGTCATAGTCCGGGTATGCAGCATTTAAAACCAGAATCAGGCGATGAAGCATCTTCCGGCCGTCCGGGTGGCTCAAGGGCCCAAAGGCGGTGGAGGTGGACAAAGCCGCGGTGGCCGCAGCCCAAGCCGCGCGGTCGCGCATCTCCCACGACAGCTCGCCATCCTCAATTGGATTAGCACCCGAGGCTGGTGCCTCAGAGAAGCTGAGAACCGGGGATCCCTCGGCGGCGGAGCCACTCTGGATGAAGGCAGCGCCCACAAGCGGGGAGATGTTCTCGATGGGAATCGGCTCAGCACCCTCGGGGAGGGTGGCCGACGCGGCAGCAGCGGCCGCCGCCGCCGCAGCAACGGCTGTGGCTTCATGATTATACCTTGACTCTAGACTTCTGTACAATCTTTTGTCCTGCGTAGCGGCTTTACCTGGGAGGAGAAGCAGGAAAGACGGGGGGGACAGAGGGGGGGGTCAGCATCCGCTGGGAAGAACGAGCAAGTGGAAAGGGCCAAACGAGCAGGGGCAAGCCACGCACAGCTGTAGGCTTCGATCTTACAGGTGACGCGAGCTTCGCCACCGAGGTCGAGGCGTCCAGCAAAGTCGGCATTGACTCGATCGAGGGAATCAAACTCGAGATACTTCATGGTGTGCAGGGGGTGGTGGAGGGGGAAGGGCCGGAGCAGGAGGAGGAGGAGGAGGAGGAGGAGGAGAGACGCGAGAGAGGGCAGAGGGAACCCAGTCGCGAAGAGAAGCGGTAGGGTAGCTTAACACCGCAGACAGGTAGGGGGCCGCGAAAATATTGATTGGCGATGCCTCTTGTCGAAGGTGCCAGATCCACACAAGTAGATGGAGGACTGCTGTGACGGGGGGAGGTCCCGAGGGCAGCTGCTGCAGACGGGGTTGCTGATGGGGGTGTAGGTACTGAGACAGAGGTGCGAAGACGGCATAGATGAGGAGGCTATGGCCGGGGGGTGGGGAAGGGGCTCGGGGCTTCGGAGGGGAGGGGGAAGCGAAGGGCCGGGCACCGGGCAGGAGGCTGGGCGCAGTAACGACTTCCGGAAGCGGCTCCGCTCGTGGAGATGGGCGTCAAGCGAGGAGTGTGATCGAGCGGGCGGCTGGCAGCGAGGGGAGGGGGGGGAGGAGCACCCGGTGGGGGGGTACTCTCAGTTGCAGCCGGGAGAACGGGCGAGCCAGATCAGGTCCAGAATGCGTCGGGACGGATCAAGGCAAGGTACGGCGGAGGGGGAGGGCTATGGCGTGACGGGGAAATCGGGCCAAGATGCCATGCAGAAGACGAGTTCTGGCGGGGCGGGGATGGGGGGGGAGGCTATGGGGGAGAGTGAGCCGTCAAGAGAGGAGAGGCGGCGGAGAGAAGACCAGTGAAAGTCGTCACGAACAGACGAGTCCGAAGGAGGGGGATGGGCAGACACAGGCGATCGGTCTGACAAACTCAGGGGAGGCAACAGGGACGCGAAAGGAGGGCGGGGGGGGGGGCAAGAGGGGCAGGGGGGAGGAGATGGGTACAGAAATGAGCCCCTGGTCATGGGCACCTGGTAGGGTGCCTCTTCGATCTGTCGGCTCAGGGACAACGCTGCTGCTCCCATGCTCGAGGGGAGCCTCCCCCGGTCCGGCCCCCGGCGCCAGCTGGCCAAGGGCGATCAGCCTGGAGTGTCTCGTCCGTCTACACCACTGGCCCGGCCCTCCCCCCCGGGG